TGCGCCCGGAATTGCGTGAGATAATATGATCTAACTAAAATTTTTTTTTTGTTGCACTACTTATGATCGCCAGTGTACTATATTAGTTCACTCTTCACGGATGAATAAAAATTATCGGCATGTAATTACCGTGAAGGTTCTTCATAATTCTCACGTGCAAGTAATTTATTATAAAACACACAATCAAAATTATTATGAAGTGCGCATTATTTCGAGCGTTATTTTAAAACAAACTGTACTATTTTAGGGGATCGATTTTTCGAAATAATGCTATTACAGTAAGTCAATCTAACAAATAAAATAATACAACGGAACTACTATAATAAATATAATTAAATTTTTATTTATGAATAGAAGATGTTAGGCTTAAAACTCAAAGGAATTATCAAAGGAAATATTACAAGAAAATAGCTTATCTTAACCAGGAACGTGGGGATCTAGTGATTTACTACGATTTTAAGGAATATGAATATATACTTATAAGCTTTAAAAATGCGCGTTCCTTAGAGATATCGTAAATCGCAAGATCTCCATGTCTCTGATCTTGACCAACTTGATCGCTCCGATATCGTGGGGCCGTGTGTTTTATTTATTTTGCAGCTCTAAAACAATACAAATAACACACTTTTGGGAATGATAAGAACGATAACATACATCTGAGAAAATAAAAAATGAATGCTGTACTTTATAAAATGAATTATATGCTTCGCGTACAATATGTGATAAAGATAATGTGACGTTCTTAATTAAATAAATACGATTCCAATAAATAATACTGACTACTCGAATTAATTAATACCTGAGGAAATAAAATTAAAGATTCCAATAAATTACTACTTATAAAGTTTCAGCAAATCTCAATATCTTAAAATTCTAAATTGAATATAGCATCAACGCTTTTTCCATTTTGATTTTTACAATATGCACGAATTTCCATTTGCCCAAACGTTAAGGTAAATTCCAACTTTCGATTAAATCCTAAGTGCGAATCCGGAAAATCCAATATCAATTCACCTAATTTTTCCATTCCCGGTTCATCAGGGTATTTGCCATCATATGCTGGAGTTTTGTAAATTTTCATACTAGCAGCTGATTGATCTTCTATACTTGGGAATAATTCTTTACCAAATTCTTCATCTACATCAACTATTGTTCCACGAGAGACAAGTTTACTAAAAACATTGATACGTCCATGAGAAATCTTACGTTCCGGCGGATCACCTTTTTTCCATTGTGGTGATAGTTCAATGCCATAGGTCCATTTTAGGACTCTAGTTTTAATAGTTCTCATGTTTAGCCCATAGTCCAATGCACCCCTGTAAAGCGGTCACGGAATTAGTGTGATAATGGCAAAAAAACTTATATTTCAAAATGTTATAAACTTATAGTTACCTTACAATAGCAGCAATCTATCAAGAACCAGATTAGGCAAATAAAATGAAGTTGAAAATATTTATATATAGATTCAATTAATATTTATAAATAAACTTCAGTGGATTTTTTCATTATTAAAAAAATATATTTACCGGTTGCTTTGGGACGTTAATATTCCTAACCTGAGCTCCAAACTCTTGTTTAATTCTCGTCTGAAGGTATTTGGACTCACTAAACCCACCAACCAGAAACATTGCAGCGCAAGTTCCTGAACCGGCACCGGCATTAAGCTGATTGCTAATCAATCTAATAATCTTGCCTACTACAGGATCAAACATTTCTTTAACGTTTTCAAATTCTAAATCGATTATCCAGTCATCCTTATCTAATTTTATTTTTGTAGTTTCTGACACATATTGTTTCAGCACTGGACATACTTCTTCGATGTCAAGTTCAAAAGTTTTGAAGTCCTTCTTGTTACCTGTAAATGGTAACTTGACACGGCGACAAAATTCTTGTACCATATATTGTAATTGGCCATAGTGATTTTCGTGCAGCAGACTTATAGCCGAGTCACCAACCCTTCGCTTTAAAAATTTTATAAACTCTTTATCTACATATGTCCCACCGCAGAAATCACCTGAACGTTCAGTAATTTCACCTAGTCTACTATTTTCCAATAACTCTCGCGTTGTAAGATCTACAGTACCACCTCCACAATCCACTATCATAAATGAACCTACATTCCGTGAACAAGATATTCAGAATTAAAATGTATCAAATACCATAACATATACGTCAAAAATACTCACTGCCAACTTCAGTAATCATATGTTCCTTTAATGTTCTCATACAATATATAGCGGCAGCTTCAGCTAAAAAAAAAAAAATATATATATATATATATATATAAGATAAAAAAATAAGTAAAATATAATCAAGATTCGAATTATTACATTCCTTTAACATAGGATAAAGAGTATACAACTCACGTTCAGTAGATAGTTGCAATTTTTCAGAGTACTGGGTTGAAATTAAACCTATTTTGAATTCAAAATATTGAATCGTCGCTCATCATTTTTAATGCGTTCTAAAACTTTTTTGTTTTACCTGCTTTGTAAGCACACTCTCTGATCGTAGCGTTTGCTTGTTCGGTGAACTCTGCTGGAACTGTCATAATTAACAATACTTGTTCCATGAAATTAACGTTTGGCCAACGTGTTGCTACGGTTTCTTTGATTAGCTGTTATTTGAAAGATAGAAAAGTAATTAGCAATAGAATTCTTTCAGCGAATTTGCGACAAAATCGGAAATAACTTACTTTTCCTATTTTTAAAAATATATTAAGTTTTAAAACCAAAATATCTAAATAATTGCAAAAAGAACTACAAAATTTCGACACACATACCCATTTCTGTTAAATAATCAGTGATAGCCTTCTTATAATCCAGCCCTTTTGGTAGCACAGGCTTCTCCTTATCAGGCATATTACCTAAGTGAAGCTTGAACAACTCAACAGGCTTTGAAGTACTGTTTCTCTCCGCTCGTCGTGAAGGTTTTTGTGCCAGCGCTGGTAACCCCCACGCTTCTACGTTCCTGAGGTTTTGATCATATTTCAATACCGTATTGGTTTTTAATGCACCAGCTACATCTGGCCATGTATCGTTTGTGATCACTTCTGGATTCGCTTTGTTCGCGTAAGCAAAACCCTGTTAGGACAAGAACGAAGTGATTTGTATAAATGATTAAGTTTGAATTTCTAAAAAAAAAAAAAAAAAAAAAAAAACAATATGAAAACATACAGAATAAGTCGTTCCGAAATCTATTCAGCGGGATCATATAATTATTAAGCCAGTTATTAGCAAATTTTTATTAATATCAATATATTTTATTTAAATCTAATTGCAACCGCTAACTAGAGTTTGGATCCGTTATCCGTTGGATGCTGAATTTAATATTAAAATCAGTCGGATATCCGTTAAATTTAATATGAAAACAGATAACGGATCCAAGCTCAACCGCTAACAATTTCAACTATTTCTTACCTATAGCTAATGTTGAAGTAGCAAGTTAGCAAGTTATTAATTTGAAGGCAAAACATTTCACTCAGAATCTTTAAAATCTTCATACCCACAACCACTCTGATATCGCTCTTCCAACTCATAATTTAAAAAATAATAATGGCAGAATTTTAAAAGTGTATAAGAGACCACAAAATTCTCAGCAGAATGACAGAATGCGCTTTTTTTGAGATTGTATTCGTAACACTTTAAGACTACTTTATCTGTCTGTATACGTAAAAAAAAAGAACCAAGTTACTTGCACTAAAAAGGTAACAGCTTTATGCCTGAAATGAAATTGCTAGGGTTTAGTGTTTGTGTAACCGTGATGTATTTAAAGGACTAACAAGATAGCCAACCGGTTTTATTTAAATATGCGTAATACAGACCGCAGAAAAGTATTAGTTGAATAGCTACAGGGGGAAAATGAGTAGGTTATAATGTTGATCTGAGAGAATATAAGAAATTTCACACATTTGCCGTAAATAGCGATAGGATTGTTAACTTGAATCCTTGAGCCGACTTCACTCGAACGTTTTGAGATAAACTCCGAGCAGTCCAAATATAGAAAATTTGTTCCTTGTGTAATTAAAGACATTTCATGCAAGATCTGTTATTGTTACGTAGTAAATTGTATGAACGAGCTAACTTAAAAGTCCGATTCTATCTGACCGGACTCCATAAAATTAGAACGTCAAACATAAGCTCATGGGCTGAAATTCGTCTGATTGGCTAGTGTAAATCAATAGCCCGGGTAACTTATTTATACACTTTAAAGTACT